TTTACTTTTGACCTCTATAATGCACAAGGATATTCACTTTTACATGGGAAACCAAAGTTTAAAATTGAAGCATTATTTCGACTAGTTATGGTGTTCACAGACACAAAAACAAAAAACACACACATCATTGTAAAATCAATACATTCATCACTTCGTTCAGAATCTAAAAAACTAAGAATATGCTTTGTAGCTAATACTAACACATTATTTGTAAGCAATCAGAAGCCCTAGATGATTATTTACAACCTATTTTTGGTAGGTATATATATATATACATATTTTATTTATATAGCTTCGGATGTTCGGTATTTTTTTTTTCATGCTAAAGCGACGTTAGTGGAACCAGGTGGTATGAGATCTATAGTCGTCGGGTCATTTAATCTATTTTTAAATACATTTACTCGTCATGTTTCTARTAATAATTTTTGAGTATCAAGTATTGAAGTAGGTATGTAATAAACTAATAACTAATAACTAATAAGTAATAACAAATAATAATATGATATTATTAATTAGGTTCATTTTTYAGGTTTCTAAACTTTAAATTAGAACACCTTATATCACYGTTGTCAGTTCGTYCGTTAATTACCAGTGTATAATTATAGTTAGGTACGATTGTTGGTACTAAAGTTTCATAACGCAGTTATAACAAAGTAAATTCATACTAGCCAATTTCAAAATATGAGTAGGTATTTAATGTAGATTCATAGTTAGTTGCGTTATATTAAAATAAATTTATATAGAAACCAGGAATTTTGCACCAGTGAAGAGTAAGTTTTTCTAAACTGGTTATTATAATATGTTGTATATAATAATTTTTTGAAACAGTATTATCAGAGTACCAACTTCAAAGGCTAAAATCTATATTTTTTATATCACATATATTATAWTATTATTAAACTTTGCTGTTGTTGCAAGTATACCAGTTGCTGGAGGCTTGATATTTTGACAGAATGTAAGTACTTTTTTCAACCATGTAGTGGTGCACTTACAAAAGATTTTTYAAAATTCGTATTTTAAAGAGGTCATACAGGGATTTTAAGATTCATGATGGAAATTTATATTTTTTTGTTTATAAATGGTTTTCGCTGGTTACATAAAATTAAACTGCTGATTAAAAATAAAAGTTAAAATTATAAAAAAAAGGATTATTTTGCAACAATTAAGATTTAATAAATGAAAAAAATAATAATTATAACATTTGCTATTTGCTCGCTATACATATTTTATCCACATGGGCACAGCGCCGCATATTTATTTATTTCTGCTAGCAATAGTTACCACGATAAGAAAAAAAAGGTTACTCATTACTATCCACTGTTTTAAAATTAAATTTATTTTCTCTACTATTTTAAATTTTTGAAGTCCATGATCCCGAATATTAAAAATGGAATTGAACAAAGTTTGATTCATGTAAGATTTATCGTTTTTCCGGCTGACGAAGTACATGGAGTTAGCTAGTAATATACATGTGCAATAATGTTAGCAAAAATTAGTTCAAAATACGAAATGTACTTCAAATAAAAAAAACATTTCTATAGTGGTATTATTTAATTTAAATGAGTTATGAAACATCCTTGAAAATACAGGCAGACATACCGACACCGCTCAAAATCATTTTTCGTTTAATACCCAATGATTTTTATCATATATTGAATTCAGCATTAAAACATCCATTACCTACACTATTGCAGTGACCTACTCAACAATGAGGTATTTAAACTCGAAATTAATYATATACCTTWAGCAGATAGACTTCACCGGTTTCTATCAGCATCAAGTTATCAACCGTTTGTACACAATTACAATACATTCTTTCAAATAAATAGTTAAGTATGATGATAATATAATAGGGCAATATATTAATGAGTGTGTGATATTTAAAGAGTATATTTTTTAATCATTATTTTTATTTTCTCCCGTTACGTTTCTAATAGCTTTTCAAGTACCCATCATATACATATATGTAATAATATAATATTGTTTACTACTTCTTTATACATTAAATATTGACACATTTTTTACCTGTTAATGTTATTTTATATTAATTCATATTATTCCAATTCTTTATACATTAAATATTGACGAATTAAATTAGTCCTTAAATTGATTATACCTTCGCTGGGTACGCATCTTATATAAGTAATAGATATTTAATACACATATATATATATAAATATTAGGTAGGTATGCATTTTAGATAATCACTCTTTWAATAGATGAAACTCTTAACGCTAAWAATGGATGTTGAATTTAAGATTCAACAAGCGGTTATCTGCAGAGAGTATTATAGGAGTATATTATTACACGAGTTTAGGCACATATTTTTATTATTAAAAAATAAAAAAAAATTATCATTAACAAAAAACAGCTGGTAGAATTAGAAAAGAGTAACAAAAAATACAGAACAAATTATGTGTATATAATAAATAAAAATAAAAAACAAAAACAGCTCGTAAATTTCAAAATAAACACTATAGGTTAATTATTAAATTGTTAGCACATAAGTTAGCAAAATCACTGTTTCTCTTTTTTAATTTTTGTTTAAAAATCTTTCTGATTTTTTTGCAATACAAAGCCTTAACGTGTATTATTAAATTATAATCTGTTCCGTTGGTTATTTGTATTATTTATATGGTGGTAAAGCCCACAGAGTGGTTGTCTTATCAGCACTGGTACTCAAAAAYGAAAAGTCTGTGGGGTGCCACCTGCCAGATATCACTTTGTCCTGGTGTTGAGCGACCACCACACTCGGCAGCGTTGTTGTCAAATCACCTGAAGAAGAAAAATTTAAGCGATATTATTGTTACTATYGTAGTAATAAATATTAAATACCAACATTTGAATGTAATAACCTCAACAAGTAAAGTTTTAACTATTGATACACATAATATACGGTCGAGGGCTCAATAATACGCGGTACCTATACTGATAACATAGCAAAAACATGGATAGGACATGCTAATTTTTTTTGTGATTTTGTTCTAAGATTCTAAGGTTAGTTATCGCAAAAAAGTGCACACGATGGTAACCTGCATTGTAGTAAGATTGATGATTCATCCACAGTTGGCCGCCATTCTGATCACAGGAAAGTCTTGCGGCTTGCATTTAGTTTACATAGATAGACATTTTCAGGGACGCCCATTAAGAATTGACTCACTATAGGTGCAAAATACTATTGTTGTAAATATAAAGCCATACTGCGATGTATACAAAGAAGATATCACGATTATCATATTTATTATGATGTCAACGTCAACGTTAGTAAAATCGCAATCGCATGGCATTTTCGTCCTTTCGTGATTGTAAATATGTCAGTATCTACCGAGCTGGGACAAGTATATTGGCCATAAATATGGAAATTAATTAACAAAAAAAAATTTTTATATTATATTATTTGTTTAAAAAGTTCAAATTATGAATAATAAAAAATATAATCTCTCAATAGTGGTGCATTTCCATTCTTACGGACATCACTGGGTATATTTCGTATGTCCTATCCGTTCCTATATTATCTGTACGACATTAGTACAATGTTACTGTATATAGGCTATTAATACTGCCAACACAAGAGTGCTGTAATATACTGTACCTTGCAAGTCGGTTARCACCAGCTTGTTATCGTATCCACCGGTTAGCAAATAATAGGCACTTGGTGAGAATCGCAACGAACGCACGTCAGCCGAGTGCGGCTTGAAACACTGCAAGCTCCTGGAACCCCGGATGTCGTACAAGACGCACGCCGAGTCCTCGTGACCGCTGACCAACAGCCGCCCAGATGGCTCCACGCAGACGGCGGCCACCGGTGATCCTTGCTGTGTAACATAATGTACAATATAAAAAAAACCAAATCAGTTAAACGATTATAATATTGTTATAATACGATACCTCCCAACAAGATAATATAATAATATGTRCCAATATGCTAATTTGTGATTTAAAAACTAAGCGAAAAAATTCCTTCAGCCAGCCAACTTTTTATTGAAATTTAGCTCTAGGTATAATCAGGTATACATTTTGGGTTAAATCTAATTATATTTAACATGAACCTATAAAATGTTCATATAAAATATTTTTTGAAATTAAAATGTTTCCAACATAAACTAGATCTTATTTACTTAACGAAATCAGCAATTTGACTTAAATAAGTGTTTTTACCATAAACAATTTTCTGAAAATCAGATTTACAAATTGACTATATTGAATATTTCGAAAAAATAAATCAATTTTAAGTTTTTTATTTTCAGTATTAAAAAATAAAAAATGTATTCTAAAAATATAGCGCAAGTGTCTATGAATTACACTTAAAAGAAATTTTTTTTAAATATTGATTAGAACAAAAGTTATTTCATTTGTCAGATCCCTGTGGGACACCTTGTATACACAGAATACAGGTGGACATGATAAAAACAAATGAAAAAATGATGCTACTAATTAAGTGAATGATAAAAACTATGAAAATTATATTGTTAATAATTAATTATATATTAAAAAAATTTTAAATATTGATTAGAATAAATGTAATTCCATCTGCCAGGTCATCCTGTTACACCATTATGTAGCCTATATAAATATATAAAAAG